TTATGAAAATGGTAGACAGGTATCTGAGAGGTGGAAAGCCCCAGGAAAGAAAGTTTAGGAACCATTACTCAGTCCCAGTACCCTCCTGCCCACAGGGCTCAGTCCTTACCTGGTCCCCCAGTAGCCAGCACTGCAGACACATTCTCCTGTTACAGCATCACAGGAGCCCTGAATACAGGTGGGGCACGTAGAGCCACAGCCCTCCCCAAAGGTGCCCATTGGGCAGGAGTCTTCACACCTGAGGGGAGACAAGACTCAGGGATGGGGAGGGTAGAGCAGGTCTGCCCCCATAGTGGGGACCCTACCCACCTTCCCCATGCTCCAGGACTCAGAAACCCAACTGGCCACTCCTCAGCAGTGAAGCTCAGGTGTAAACAGGGCCTTGAACCTAGAACCAAACCAGTAGGTGACAGACTACAAATTCCTAGAGGGAAAAGGGGAAGGAAACCCCAAGGGGTAAGGAAGTTAGAAGAGCGTGCATCCCAGGACTCCCTCAAAACTCTTCTTTGACCCTCAGTTTTACCAGGAGGTAGCCCCAAGGGCTGAATGTGTGTTGGGGAAGGTAAGGATCCTACAGAAAAGTCTAGTCCACCCTCAGTAGGGTGGCGTCCTCACCTGGGCCCTAGCCAGCCAGGGTCACAGTGCTGACAGTGGCCTGTCTCTGGCTGACAGGCCTCCCCAAGCCGGCAGCGAGGGCACTGCTGGCTGCAGTTCTTGCCAAAGGTGCCTGGTGAGCAGGGCTGCTGGCACTGGGTCCCATCCCAGCCTGGCTTGCAGGACTCACAGTGGCCTGTGTCTGGGGAGCACGATGCATTCTGCTCACATTGGCCACAGCTGGTAAGAGAAAGGGTTCATGGGAGCACCAGGGACAGATGGAGAGCTCAACTCCTCCAACCCACCTATAGCCCACTCAGATCTTCAGGGGCACTAGAGAGCATCCAGGTCCCAGTTAGGTGACTCAGGCAGGTTCAAGCCTCAGTTTCTCTGTTCTGTGCAATAAAAAGATCAGATAGATGATATCTGAGGGCTCTCACAGAGTTCCATTTCTCTCCTTGCTCTATGATACATCCTTCCCTGGGTCCCAGGGTCACCTGAAGCTATAGTAAAGCCAGGACACCAAGTTACCACTCTACCTTCCACCTGTTTCTGCCCAGCTTTCCTTTTCTCTTCCTTTCCCCTTTCTCTCTCCCACACTATGCCATCCCTGAGATCAGGGCTCAGTGGTTTATCCTCTATCCCACAACATGAAAATGTAAAAAAGTCAATTATAAGACTGCAAGCAAGACCAACCTTAAAAAAAAAAAAAAATCAGGGACTGGGGTTGTGGCTCAGTTGTAGAGCACTTGCTCACATGCGTGAGGCACTGGGATTGATCTTCAGCACCACAAAAAATAAATAAGATAAAGATATTGTATCCATCTACAACTAAAGAAATATATATATGACTAATGAATGACTATGACTGTTTTAACTACTATACTTTCAAGTTTACCTTATCTAAATTTTTCATTGATGCTTATCAGTAACTTGAAGTTTCTCCCTCCAGATTCTTAATTATCTGGGATGATAGACTTGGGTCAGATCCATTATCAAAAGGGAAGAAAGGAGTTTATAAAACCAGTCTAACCAATCTTGACTAGCATTTAGAAAAAGAAAAAAGGAAAACACTACAGTATATGTGTATGTATAAATATAAGGATGTATTGTCTAGTTACTTTTATTTCTGTTATAAAATGTGCTACATGTGTCATGTGGGATGTAGTTTCTTGTTCTTGAGCTGATCAATAATTGAAAGCCACTGAGTCTTAAAGGGCCATTCTTTTGAATCGTGATTCTTTTCCTAAGTATGGCTTGCTAGTATTATATCTTTAACTAAATGGATGAAAGGAGTGGGAGGGCTCAACCCAGGGGTATCAAGGGGTTTCTTCTTCTTTCTTCCCTGTCTTGTATATTTTGGGGGGATAGCACTAGGATCCTGCACTCCTGTCTAGCACTTCTCACTGGGTACCTGCCTCTTCCTGCTCTTCCTGCTCACTCCCCCTGACCTGGGTCCTCCCTGGTGCTCCTTGGAGGGGGGCTCACCTTTTGCTGCACTGCACCCCGTAGCTACCGGGAGCACAGGGCAGCTCGCAGCGCGCGCCATGGAAGCCAGGAGGGCAAGAGCACTGACCGGAGGTGGCACTGCAGAGGCCACGCACGCACTGACACTTCTGACGGCACTCGGAATCCCACCAGCCAGGCTGGCAGATGCAGCGGCCCGAAAGCTGCTCGCAAGGGGAGCCATTGCAGGAGCAGCGGAAGCTGCAGCGGCGGCCCCACCAGCCAGAGTGGCAGAGACAGGCTCCTGTGGTCTGGTCACACTGTGATGTAGAACTGCACTGGCATTGGCGGCGGCACGTGGATGACCACCAGCCCCTATTGCAGTGGCACACACCCGTCTCAGGGTCGCAACGGCCGTGGGAGCTGCAGGCACACGTGAACTCACAGCGGCTGCCCCAGCGGTCCGCTTGGCACTGGCACTTGCCGGTGGCTGGGTCGCACTGGCCGTGTGGGTGGCAGGGGCAAGTCTCACGGCAGTCGGGGCCCCAGTACTGGCTTGGGCAGCCTGCAGGGTTGCAGGGAACAGAAATCGGCTCAGGGCCAGGCACAGATCCTTGTCCTGTCCTTTCCTCAAAGCAGAGGGGTCCAGCCAACCCTCCAAGAGACAAGGATGGACCCTGGAACATCTGGCAACCTGTCCTCCTGGAGCATAGCTCACTTCCTGCTCCAGACTCTGAACTACAAAAACCCTTAGCCTGGGGCTGGGGTTGTGGCTCAGAGGTAGAGTGTTTGCCTAGCATGTGTGAGGCACTGGGTTCATCCTCAGCACCACATAAAAATAAATAAATAAAATAAAGGTATTATGTCCATCTATAACTAAATGAAAAAAATTAAAACAAACAAACAAAAAAAAAACCCTTAGCCTGGGCCCAGCCTCCCACTTGATGGTCTAGAGCACACTCAGAGGTCTTGAGTGAAAAGGGGGTGTTCCCAGAGTCACACATAGTGGGTGGGGGCTTTATTCACAAACCCCTGTTGAGCTTCCCACCCAGGGATTCCTGGGGCCTACCTTCAGGCTATGGGTCCACCAACCCCCTTTCTATCCCCCTCTTCTGCCAGAGAGGGCAGAGAGTCCGGTTTGGAGTCTCCTGCCCTCCACCCATATATAAGGTATCTGTGGGGGAGACTAAATTACACAGTTAACAGGGATCACAGGCATTTTCTCTAAGAAGTTAAAAAACGAGGCAAAGGTCCCAAGTGGGCAGGGCTTTGTGGATATAGAGAAAAAACAGATGACTCAGGACATCTACCAGGGGTACATCACTTCTGTAACTGGGCCTTAATTTCCTCAAACTTGAAACTTGGGGGAATGGGGAGGCCGAGGCAGGAGGATGATGAATTCAAAGCCAGCCTTAGCAACTTAGTGAGGCCCTAAGCAACTCAGCATGACCCTGTCTCTAAATATAATATAAAAAAGGGCTGGGGATGTGGCTAGGTGGTTAAGCTCCCCTGGGTTTAATCCTTGGTACCAAACAAACAAACAAACAAATAAATGACTTGTAGGGATTCTGGCCCTGCTGTTCTAAGGTTACATTTCCATCTGTTCTGCCATGCCCCTCCCTCCCCCACCCACCACCTAGTTCTGCCCAGTAACTTCATCCTGTAGTTGAGACTCACGGGAGCTGCACTGGGCCCCGAAGAATCCAGGTTTGCATCGGCAGAGGCCTGGTTTCACACATATCTCGTCTTTCTGGCAGGCATCCAGTCCCTCACAGATAGCTGAAAAACACCCCACCCAGGTCTGAAAGTCTGGGGCACACACAACCAGGGGACACCCTCTCCCTTTTACCCACTTCAGGGGCTTTGCTCCCTTAAAAGCCACCCTCATAAGGCTGGGGATGTGTGTCACAGGATGAACCCTGATTTTAGGGCTCTGGAGAGGAAAGAGTAGGAAGAAAGGGTTGTCACTGGGTGATATCTCCCATCTCCTTGGCTGGGGGTCCAGCCTGGCTACTCACGAATGGTGCATTCTCGATCTTTCTGCCTCCAACCTGGGCAGCACTGCAGCTCAGCAGAGGGGCTGTGGGGCAGAAAGGGGTCAGCCCACAGGGTGAATCACTGGCTCCAGCTGAGGTGTGGTAATCTGCCTCAGACCACCAGGGAGATCTACCCCGCTGTGCCCGTCCACTCCGGTCTCCTTCCTTGGCCTTAATAACACCTGCCCTGACTATCCACTATTTGCCAGATCATCCCTCAAAACCCTTCCCTTTAGTGCCAAGACCTCTTCCTCTACATCCTCATTCTCAGAAATGCCTCAATTTTTCATTCTCAGAAATGCCCCAATAATTCAGGCATCATCCCCATCAGTCTTCCCCAAGACCCACCTGCTGCTCATGCAGACGTGTTGCCCATTGGGATCCAGCTCAGACCCCTGGATCCCTGCAGTCCAGAGCAGCAGCAGTAGGAACAGCAGCCCCAGCCCCATGGCGGCCAATAAAGTGGGAGGACTTGAGTTAATCTGGCTCCCACAGCTCCCAACCCCCTCCCTGCTTCCTCCCAAGGCTTTTCCTGAGGAAACCAGGCCGGAGGGGTGGACTGACATGATGCTCCGCCCTGAAAGGGCCCCATGGGTACTAGGAAGGCCATACACTCAGAAATGAAAGGGAAAGAAAGAACTGAGTGGATTTATGGGTCTTAATCTGAAGGCAGGAAGGAAGAACAAAGGCCTATGTCCTTGGATACAGAGAACAGGCAAGGGGGTGGGCATGGCTTTCCATTAGACAGTACTCCCAAAGTGAAGCCAGAGCTGAGAAAAGTCTTCCATCCAGCGACCAACCAAGAAGGAAACCCCATGAGGAAACCTCTGGCTGCCCCTGCTCCTGGCAGGCTTGGAAGGTGGGATGGCCCACTAACAGACAGACATGGAGAAGTTTTTGGGTATTGTGGGCAGTTGCTTTATTACATTAGCTGAAGTTATCTGTACAAATCCTCAGACAGGTAGATAATCAGTCCTCTGTCTCCTGAATGGGGAACTTGGAGAAGAAACACCTTTGCACAGATAGCCCAAGGCTTGGTGTAGGAAAGTCAGGAAGGTAAGCAGGCTGAGCTCCCTGTCATGGTGAGCACAGGCAGGATAGGAGATGAGCACCAGAGAGGGCTGTGAAGGTAGGAGCCCTATCCTCATTTGAGCTCACACATTCACCCACTGCCAGACCCCAAAGTCAGGCCTCTGGGGCAGCTGAGGCCCTCAGACCAAGATGTTTATCAAAAGCAGAGCAGCGCCAGTCAGGAGTTGGGGGCTGGAGGGGTGCCCACAGGCTCCAAGTGAGGTTGCTGTGGGGCCTCCTCTTCTTCCCCTAGTTCACCRGGAGTGGTATTGCTGGTCTTAGCTTCTGAGGCCCCTGCTTCACTGTGATACCATGAGCCAAAGCTGGAGGGAGAGCCAGGAGGTACTTTGAACCAGAAAGCCAGAGAAGTCAAAGATATGGGATGAGGGCAGGGAGTGGTGGGAAAGGAGCTACAGAGGGAAAAAAGGGCAGTGTGTGGTCATGGGGAGCTGAATGGGGTCAGGTCAGGAGGGAGGGTTTGTTGGAGCTCAGGACAGCAGGGTGAGAGGCAGTGGAGAAGGAAAGGAAAAAAAACAGGACTCCTCCTTCACCTCCCCTCCTGCCCTTCCCTTCCCTCAACATACAAACTCTGTATTCTGGACTCAGAGGGTGGGGGATCATCTCCTTTATTGTTAGAGAGCTGGAGCCAGGAGCCATCCTCATCATCACTAAGACAGAGGAAAGAGAAGATGTGAGGGCCACATATTGAGGCCCTGAGGGACAACAGGAGTTCAGCTCACGTGGAGCTTTTTGAATGGCCTCCAGGAGCACCAGGGAAGGACAGAAGGACTTCAGGGTTCCCAGCTGGAGTGAAGGAATCACAGGACATCTTGAGGCTTTTACTTTATAACCTGGCAGGTAGCAGGCCCCTGGCAAAGCTGCAGGCCCAGACCCATTCCTCTAACAGATAGACCCAGTCAAGGCAGGAAACTGAAAACTGAGTGTGGAGAAGCAGCATTAGCAGGTTTCTTCAGCAGATTATACAACAGACAGGGCAGGTGGGAGAAGTGTGATCCAGAAAGACGATAGCAAGTGGGACGGTGGGCTCAGGGTGTGACCAGGCCAAGTCAGCAGGCCCAAGGAGTGACCTAATCATAGCTGCAGGTTTAGCAGGACAGACTAGACAGCAGGCTCAGGGATAAGGAGGCCAGGTTAGATGGTCCAAGAAGTGACTAGATGAGATTGATATAAGGGGTGACCAGGCTGGGTCAGCAGGCTCAACTAGGTGACCACTAGGTCAGCAAATGCTAAGAGGTGGCTATCTAGGTCATCAGGCTCAGCAAAACTTGGGAGGGAGAGAGGAAAGGCTGGATCGGGGAAATGGAGGCAGGATCCTACCTACTCTCTGCTTCCTCTGGTGTCCCTAACATCTTGGCCTTGATCTTCTTTCGCTGTTTCCTGACAGCCACCTTCATGGCTTCAAGCAGAAGCCCAGGGACTCTGTGGTCTGTGAGCAGTTCCCTATAGGAGAGAGGAAGTGGCAGGGAGAAAGCAGTGAGGATGCCAACTGTAGGTTCCAGTCCAATTACCCATTTGCCTTTTTCTTCCTGAAATACTGCTTCGCACTGCTAACATTTCTCAGATCTTCCTCTAGGTGGCCTGCTTCCTAGGAATACTTCCCTACTTGCTGCTGCTGCTGTTGTGACCCTTTGTGCGCTCGTGCGCGCTCTCTCTCTCTTTCACACACACACACACACACACACACACACACACATGTTTGGATGAAGTTCCAGGACAGCAGGAACTATTTAATTCATGTCCTCCCAGTACCCAAGCAGAGCCTGGCATATGTCACAGTGGATATATCAGTGAATAAAGAATTAGTGGGTGACTTGAGGCCCAAGGTAAGTAAGTGGAGGCACCTCCTCTTCCTAGCCTCTTACCGCTGGAAATAGGCCAACTCCTCCTTGAGCAGAAACACATTGGTTTTGAGCTCATTCCGCTCTTGAAGGATCTGCTCAACCTCCTCCCTGCTGAAGCCACACTGCCCTGCCTCCGGAGGGTGCTCTGGCTGTGGTGGGGTATGCATCTGTGAAAGGGCAGACATGATTGAGGAGGGCAGCCTCCATTATCCTTCCTACCTAAACCCTAATACTATCACAGGAAGGCTAGGGAAAGTGATTGGAAGACTTTGGGGGCAAGTGTGCAACAGTAGAGGGCGGCACTGCTGCAGCTGAGTGGGTCTTAGGTGCAAATCTATGTGTCACCTTCCAACGGATTTGCTATGTACCTGGTACAACTTGCCCAGTGCTTAATAAGTGCCAGACTCTGTGGGTCTGAGTCGGGTCCCTACCTTCCTCCTGCACTCACCGAGTCCTCAGGAGTCACTGGATCAAGCTCAGGTCTCTGCTCTCGCTTGCCAGGGCCTTGCAGTGGTAGCTCACGCTCCCTCTCGCGGTCCTGTGCAGCCCGAAGCTGGGCTTGCACGGCGGCCAGCTTGTGTCGCAGCTCCGCATTTACCAGCAGGAGGCGCTGCAGCTGCTCCTGCAACTGTGGGTGGAGCGAGAAGAGAGAAGAGAGCTGACAGGCGGGGCGCCAAGGCCCGCCTGAGCCCCGCCCCACGCCTACCGACCGCACTCACGGCTTCCATCTCCTGGCTACGTTGCAGAAGGTCGCGGTTATAAGCCCGGAGCTCGTCCCGCTGTTTGTCCGTCACCTCCTTGAGCTGCTGCAGTAGCGCGTGCTCCTCTGAAGAAGGCGTGTTAGTGGCGGCCTGCAGGAGCTGAGGCCCTAACTAGTCCCCAGCCCACCCTGGTCCCGGTGGGGCCTGGACTTACCCTGCGGTCCCGAGCGTAGTTCCCTACGGAGGTGCTCATTCTCCTGCCTCAACCTCCGTAGCTCCAGTTCGGCCTGCTGGGCAGACACCTGCAGCTGGGGATGTACAGGCTGGGATTAGAGCCTGCCATCCCTACGGTGGGGTAAGCAGAGCGAGGAGTGACTCACCGAGTCCGGGGCGGGCCCAACAGCAGCCTTTTCCAGGAACTCCAGTGCCCGCACCACAAGCGGCACCAGCCCTGCCGCTGCCTCTGGGCCAAAACGACGCGCCAGCTCTTGCAGCTCAGTGCCCAGGGCCCCCGCTAGATGGTATACGAGCTCAGCTGCTGTCGCAGACCCCGAGGCAATTTGAGGTATCCAGCTGGGTGGCCCAGGCGCTGCACTCCTGGGCTCCATTTTCCCCCCAGAAGACCTAGGGCACCCCAGCCCTCAACTTAAGMCCGGAAAATGCCAAACAGTTCCGTCCCAGGAAGTTTAGGAATGTAAAGGGCGGGGTAGAAGTGACAAGGGAGGAGCAACAAGGGGTAAAGGACTGGGAAAGGGACGCGGTGCACCCCGGTCCCTGTCCCATTCAACCCCCAAGGTCACAGGGAACTGAATCACCATTTCCCAGGCAGGTGTCCAAAAGCAGAGGCCGGGTGTTGTTAGTGGTCATTGTAGGCAGGCCCTCCCCCTAGCACCCAGTCCAGGCTCCACCCCTGTGCCCAAGTCCAGAAGTGGACTTGGCTGCTAAACACTCCAGGCAAGAAGTGAGACTGAAGGCCTGTGAGTGCTGTTTCTCTATGAACAGTGTCAGAAAAGTTGAGACTAGACTGTGTGCTACAACTACAGACCACAAGCTACAGAGCTAAACCCAGAAAGGGGAGCAACTTCTCCAAGTATGTTGAAAAATGGTGATGGTTTACAAGTATTTTTCAAAGAAACCATAAAGATAGTCAAGTCAGTAGAGTGTGAAAACCCAATCCCACATCAGTTCCTTAAGTCTAGGGGATATTCAGGTCCAAAGCCCTGAACAGGAGGGAGCCTTTTACTCACTCAAGATAGAACCCAGCACCAAACTGTGAACAACTGCCCCAGCCCCCTGTCATTTCCACATTCAGAATTTGAGGTCAGGCAGGGTGAAAAAAAAGGCAACCAACCCTAAATTTCTATTTATACAAAATTTATTGTATGTTGTTCAGGAATACAAGCCATTAATGATACAAGCACAAAAACGAAGGAAAAAAGGGCCAAGCTGCTGAATGTCACCAGCTTGTATGTGGGCATAAGAGGCTTCAGCACTTGAAAAGTCCGAAACAGGAGGAGGTGAGGAAACAACTAGGCATATAGGTCCTCKCGATCTGCAGAGTAGACCTCTCCCTCTTGCAGGAGGGCAAAGTTGAGGAAGTGGGAGGGTCTGTGCACCTCATGGTAGAACTCTTTAGGGTTTGCCAGCTGTAGCTCATACTTCATGTTGGGATCATGTCGGACACCTTAGGTGAGAGGGAAACATTAAATGTTAAAAGGGTCTCCTTTCCGCAACCAGCCTGGGCCACTGGGCTAAGGGTAATGACGTCACTTACCCCAACCCTGTCCCCACTTCCCATGCTGCCCTCACACACAGCCTACTCACCCATAAAGTTGTAGTTCCATGAGGACTGAGCAGGAACCATAAAGAAGCCAAGGAATCGGTCTGACAACAACATCTGGACCCTCTCATAGTGTGAGGGTAGATAACCCTTGGGGTTGTTGCCTTTGTCTGTATTCTGGCGGCCCCATTCATAGCCACTGGGTGTCAACTTGTAGGCTGTCAATGTGCAGGAACCTGGTGTGAAGCTAGAGAGGACAAGGACATGTGACAGTTCAGCCCCTGACCCGAAATGCCTACTTGCCCCACAATACTTCTTCCTAAGAGGGTCCAAGCCCACCTGCAGGTGATGATAATGGTCTTCTCGCCATCCCAAGATGGGTTGTCAGCCATGATTTTGGCATGGGTGGTGACATCCTGGGGTGACAGCTGGGGGGACTCATTGGGCTGAGTGTGGATCCAACCTAAYGGCTCCATCTCCTATGGGCAAATACCAGTAAAGAACTGTTCAGAATCCCATGTGCAAACAGAACTCTCACCCATTTGACTAACATGCCTGCCTGTCTCCTCCCTGAGGGCAAAAAGGCACATATTTTCAAGCTCCTACACTTCCAAGCTTCATTACCACCACTTACTTTGAGGTACTCATGCTGGGGCAGCTGACCAGGCAGGTGCACAGTCTGGTGAGTACCCCACTGTGGAACCATCACGATGCAGCGGATTTCCTTCACTTGGGGGTTATCCGGTGGGCTCACCCCATACAGGTACCCTGCAATCTGGAGATGAGGGGGTTAGGAATCTTAGTTCCAACTCAGAGTTGGGGTGTCAGCTTATTTCCCTCCCTACCTCCAAGAACAAGAATGAARTTTCTCAAAAATGAGCCAAAACCCCCTGCATCAGAATCACCTGGAGTTCTTGTTCAAAATGTTAGACTTCTTCATCATAATCTGTGATATAATCTAGGAATCTGCACTGCTCTCAAGCTCCCCAGCTGATAGTTACTTATTATCAATAAACAAACAAGCACACAGCTAATGAATTTTTTTTCTTTCTTTCTTTGGCACTGGGGATTGAACTGAGGCGTGCTTCACTGAGCTACATAACCTTTTGGTAGCGGGCATTGAATCCAGGGGTACTTTATTGTAACCACATCTCCATCCCTTTTTATTTTTTTTTTGAGATAAGGTCTAATTAAATTGCGAAGATTGGTCACAAATCTGTCGTGGCTGATCTCAAATTTCTAATCCTCCTGCTTCAGCCTCCCAAGTAGCCGGTATTATAGGTATATGTCCCCATATCCAGCCAGCTCAATTAATTTCCACAAGCTGAATACCACATCTGGAAAACCAGCACTAGCCAGAATTTTATTTTATATTTATTTTTTAGTTATAGGTGGACACAATATCTTTATTTTATTTTTATGTGGTGCTGAGGCTCAAACCCAGTGCCTCACACATGGTAGGTGAGCACTACTCTACCTCTGAACCACAACCCCAGCCTGACAGAATTTTAAATTTTACATTGCTATCAACAAAGTTAGGGAAACTGTTTCCTATAAAATCACTCATATAGAATACTAGTTATCTTTTCAAATTTGCCAATCTGCCAGGCACGCCTATAATCCCAGCAATGTGGAGAGGCAGAGGTAGGAGGATCACAAATTCAAAGCTAGCAACCCTRTCTCAAAATTTAAAAGGACTAGTGGTTAAGTGCCCCTGAGTTCAATCCCCGGTACCAAAACAAGCAAACAAACAAAAAAGTAGACCTGATGGCCACAATGTGGTGTTTTATAACATATGAATATGAATTACTAGTAAACTTATTTGGAGTCCCTTTCTGAACCACCGTTTTATTTTTTTTTTCAGTGCTAAGGAGTGAACCCTGAGTCCCATGCTTACTGATAAGCACATACTCTATTACTGAGCTACACCCTAATGCCCTTCTTATTCTTTGCTCATTCTTCTTCAGTTACTTTTAAAAAATTAACTTCTGAAAACTCCCTCTTTTACATGCTAATTCATTATCTAATCTTAGACTAATGAAATACTTTTTCATTTTTGTCTTTTGTAGTACTCTGTATCACAAGTTATTAATTTTGACTATAGTTTTGTTTTATGTCTTTTTAAAGGAAGTTATCCCAACACTAACGTCATCAATATTTTAGTGATTTATTTAAAAAACTGCATTAGCTCTGCAGTTCAGTATTTAACATTCCGATTTTGAATCAACTTTATTTTACTTTTTTAAAAAATATTTTTAGTGGTAGATGGATACAATACCTTTATTTTATTTATTTTTAGGTGGTGCTGAGGATACAACCCAGTACCTCATTCATGCTTGGCAAGTGCTCTACCACTGAACTACAGTCCCAGCCCCTATCTAGTTTTATTTCTGCAAGTAGTATGAGGCAGGGATCCTGCCTTTCCCCACCTGTCTCAGTATCATAGGTATGTTTAACCTCCCAGATTTGATACAGCATGTTTATTTAAAATAACACATGAATCTATTTCTGACCATATGCTTTTCTTTCCCAATAACTTCCCAAGCCAATAATATAGTCTCTTGGGCTGGGGTTGTGRCTCAGTGGTGGAGTGCTCACCTAGCACACATGACGCACTGGGCTCCATCCTCAGCACCACATAAAAATGAAATAGATATTGTGTATCCACCTACAACTAAAAAATAAATATTTTTTAAAAAGTCTCTTAATTGCTAAAGCTTTATAAAATATTTTGATATCTCATAAGGGCCCACATCCTCTTTGGGCTATCCTTTTACAGTTATTCATCCATGAATATTGAAATCAGCATTCCAAACTCCAGGAAATATCAGGTGAGTTTTAAGCATGTAATACGTGGGGGCATCTGTGGTCTCGCTGAGCACACTTACTTGGGCACGAAGGTCAGAGATGCAGATAAACTTCTTAAGCACATTCTTGGGAAGGATATAAGTGTAACCAGTCTCTTTAATGTCATCAGAAGAAACATAAATGTGATTGGTCCGTAGGTGCAGATTGGCAGCAGAGATGGCCCTAAAAACAGGACATGTCAGCACTTGTCAGCCCAAGCATCATCTCCAGTAGCACCAACAACCTCTCCATCCCTACCCTTTTGCCCTTCACATACCTGACCCTCCATTCAGTTTTTGAGGAGAAAGTCTGAGTTTCATAGTTGCTGGTTGTGGAGGTGATGATCTCATCACCATGCTTGTTGACAGTGCGAGTCTGTGTTGCAGTCAGCTGTGACTGTTCCTTTGTCTGCTTCTCGATCTCTGCTATCTGCTGTCGCTGCTGTGATGGTGCTGAGATCTCCATACCCAAGATAATGTCTCGAATTTCTGACTGTGTCAGTGATGCCACATTCACACTGTGGGCATAGTGTGAGTTACACAAGGATCCTTACCCCTTAGTTACTTTTGTTTCAACAGAAAGAGTATAACTTGGTAGAAAGGGCAGGTCATACTCTCACTCAGATAGTTCTCTAGTGACACTTTTTTTTTTAAAAGCCTGAAGTGGGGGCTGGGGCTGTAGCTCAGTGGCAGAGCGCTTGCCTAGCATGTGCTAGGCACTGGGTTTGATCCTTAGCACCATATACAAATAAAGTAAAGACATTCTGTCCATCTACAACTACAAAAAAAATTAAAAAGCCTGAAGTAAAGATTGTTGATACTTTGAAGATTCATCACATTCCAAGCAGGACAGAACTCTGCACACATACCTTTTGGCTATTTGGTGTCCATAATTCCCACTTTTCCTCCACATAAAGTGCCCTAGCAGGGCTGGGCTTGTGGCTCAGTGGCAGAGCACTTGACTAGCATGTGTGAGGCACTGGGTTTGATCCTCAGCACCACATATAAATAAATAAAGGTCCACTGACAACTAAAATATATATATATATTAAAAAAAAAAAAAAAAGCGCCCTGGCACAGGACACTTTTCAAAAATGGAAACCCCAGAAACTGTAGATCATTGCCTCCTACTCAAAAGTAGTGGTATTAATCACTTTAGTGGGTAACTGGAAATCAAATGG